AATTCACTTTTACAAATAGTTTCACAAAATATAGAAGTCCCTTAGAACCTTTCCTCCACTGCTGACAAGTCAATTTTCATTCTTTACCTTCAGAGGAAATAACTGTCATGTGCTTAGGATATATCATGTATGAGAGTTCTATTCCTTTTTCTAATAATACCATTTGTTCTCCAAATTGATTGTTCTAATAAATCTGTAAAAAATGTTTCATGGGAACTATTTTACAATATGATTCTGACATTCACTGCTGTCTATTTCTAAATATATTTTTCCAAAATTAAGACAAGTAAATAAAAATGTCAATTATCTTACCTTATGTGGATTGCTCAGCTGTCCCTGATAAAAATCAAATAACTGTAACTACAGGTTTATTTCTGTTCCGTTCTAATGATATGTCATTCCTTGTGTCAATACCATATTGTCTTAATGATTGTAGGTTTATGGTTAAGTTGTAAAATCAGGTAGTGGATTCATCCAACTAGACTTCCTTTTTAATATTGTTGGCTTCTTCTTTAATATTGTTTGCTCTTCTACTACCTATTATTTCCATGTCAACTTTGGGCTTAGAATGCCAGTTCTTAAAAACAAAAGTCTCAGAGGATTTTATTGGCAATACACTGAAACTGTAAATCAATTTTAAGAGCTTTGACATTCCTAGAGTATTGAGCCTTCTGATTGATGATTATAATATAACTCTCTGTTACTTATTTACATTTTACCCAATTTCTCTCACAAAAATGCTTTGTAGTTTTCAGCAGAGAGGTCACAAACATCGTTTGTTAAACTTATTCCTACTTTGCTGTTTGATGATATAAATATCTTAATCTTTAATTGTTTAGTATCACATTATATAATATTTTTAAAATTTAGTTATGCATCATAAAATCTTGCAAAAGTTGCAGATAAGTTCTAATAGTTTTATAGTTGGTTAACAGTTTAAGTATCACAATAACCTATATATATTTTACAAATTGCTAGAAATGTTATGATAATGAGATAGAAATGTTAATTATCCTGATTTGTTCACTATATACTGTATACAATTATTGTAATTACTCTATACAGTTCTTATGTGTTAAAGTTTTGTTTAATGAAATATTTAAGGAGATGAAAATGTTAATAACCCTGATGTGATCATTATACATTGTATACATATACTAAATTATCATTTGGTGTCCCATAATTTTATAAAATTAAAATGATATTTTTTATAAAATGCCATTTTCAAATTAACATAATTTCTTTCTTTCTTTTGGATATTTATGTCCACCATATCTACTTATTGTCATATAACAATGGTTTTGGAGCTCTAAAACAAAGTTTAATAATAGAAATGGCATCCTTGCCTTCCATCTGAACTAAGTGGAAGCATTTTTAGTCATTTTTCATTATTTTCAATGTCACCATGTGGACTTTGCTGTATCCCCTTAGTAATATTAAAAGTATCTGTTATGCAGGGAAGGAAATTGTCATAAAATGCTTTTCTCTACCAATGGATTATCACATATTTTTCTTATACTGTTTTAATTTAGTAAATTATGTTTTTTTGTGTTAAATCAACCTTTTATTTCTGATAAAAAACACTGTATCACTACTAAGTACATTTTGTGTATATTCATAAGGAATGCTGATTATTAATATCCTTTTTTTAGTGAAATATTTTTAGATTTTGCTATTCAGACATAAGGACTGTATAAATTGAACTAAAAAATGTTCATTCTTCCTGTAATTTCACAAAGCATTTGAGTAAAATTAGTAATGCCTATTCCAAAAATAACTGATAGGAGTTAGTAGTAAAATTTCCGTTATCCATATTCTATATTATTTTTCAAAGGTTGCACTTACTATATGATATTCATTTACTTCATTTGAAGAGTATTCTTTAACATTTCTTTCTATGCATACATATCTTTTTACAAAAACCAGACTCATATCATATAGTGATACAGAAGATTTTAAAATGCAATATGCATTAATTTTATATGTAATTTTGAAAACCGAGTTTTTAACATGCACTTTCAAGTTTTTAAATATGTCTCATGCACATATTTCTACTGATTTACTTTCTATCCTCACACACACCCACCCACCCACACACACACATACAACACACACACACACACACACATACACATATATATATATCACTATATATATCACATTTATATAGTAGTAGTCTGACACAACACCTTTATTTATTTATTTTTATGTGGTGCTGAGGATCAAACCCCCAGCACTTTATACCTGCTAGGTGAGCGCTCTACTGCTGAGCCACAATCCCAGCCCCCTCACATATATTTTAAAGAATGGGTAAACAGTCATATTTCGGGAAACTTTCTGAGGGAAGAAAGAATATAGAAAATGTCAGTGACAGTGCAATTCCTTGGACATTTTTTGTTCCAAATCAAAGCTCCAATTTCCTCCAGAGAAGGCAACACCTATTTCTGAAATGGCTCAGAAGAGAATAACAAGGTAGGAATGAATGAGAGAAGGATACTGGATGTTCTTCACAATGAGAGAAAGATCCCTATATTTTAAAATGTTGCCAAAATCAAAGACAACACACTGTACAAGGCTCACTTGTACAACTGTGGTTGAATAGAATTAATTTTGCTTACAATACTTCCCATTAAGAAGCAAAAATCATCAAATATAAATCATGAGTCTTCCTGGGGAAGAAAACCAGAAATAATTAAAATTTTCCTAAAACAAAACTCTTGAAAGTAATATCCTTTGTTTATTTAATGGTGCACTACTACAAATTGTCATAGTCTATATGATAAGGGAATTGTATTTAAAAACCTATTTAAATAAACAAAGTTATAGGTCACCTTGATAATTTCCTTTTAGTGGAAATTTAATCATGGTCTTTCTTTGATCATAAGTCAAAATCATTCTGTGTAGTTCTATTCAAAGTAAGGAAATAAGTGTATGTAATTTTTTAACATTTTGCTCTAGAGGTGTTTATTAAACCAACATGTCTAAAGTAGCTTGGCTAAGGATTAATAATGACAAATAAAAGTGTGGTCATAACACTATTTCCAAATTGCAGGGGAATAGGGTCCGTTATGAATTCAGTGTCTATGAGGAATATGAATTAACAAGTACTGAGCTTAAGAAGGGCTAGACTTTGAGGTTCAACAATTTCAATAGAACAAAATGTATCTGTGAATTCCAAGTATCTTCAATATTCAGGATCAGGCATAGAATGTGGTCAAAAGGAGACTATTTCATGTGCCTGTATTGTTCAATATGGAACCCAATTCTGGATGATATGAAAAGTAGACTCTGTGGTCTCTAAAAAATAATTCATATTTATGAGCCATTGCTATTATTTCACTAGGATTTGGGCATAGTATCCAGGAAGTGTCTACACTAATCCATGTTAACAACATCATCATTATTTACTCTTCTAATGAGACCATGGCAAGACCAAGGCTTTTATTATGTTGTCTTATGTAAAGGAGCATCCACAGTCTATGCAAGTAGTTTTCTCATTTACTAAACTATAAATCACAGCACCAATGTTTGGACATGGCATTTCATTATCTGTCATATTCAAACAGAGATTTGGTGTATCAACTGATGCCAGGGTTGTCTACATCTGATCATATAGAGACATAGTCACAATAAATTCTGTAGTGTGGAATCAATAAGCACACAGACATTTTGAGTATAGATAGGGGTTCTATGTCAACATTTTCACAGTTGCATCTGGAGTAAGGCTGTGTTATTATTCATTGTTGCTATATTTACTCAGAGACAATCACTAAATTGTGTCAGCATACATAAACAGAACTTTTGTAGAACTGCTTTGGAGTCTTATTTATCAGAATTCAAATATTCAAATATAAACCTCTTGGAGGGTTTAAAACACAGGTAACTTACTGCAGGAGTAGGAATTGGCAACACAGGTGATCAGAGAGATTGAGAAACAAATCAGGAAGATAGTTGGAGAGTATATCTTTGTGAGTTTAACAAACTGCTTCAAATTTAGGAAGAACAATTCCAGATCATATCATATCTAAGACTACATTAACTTAGAGAGATTTATTTTTCTATAAACCTCTATAAACCTAATGATCCCACACATACACGTGTCCAAAGACTTAATCATATAAACAAATTTATATGTTAATAACTGCATAAAAATTTATGATGTAAATATTCCATTCTATATTACTTCCTCCAAGGTAAACTTCACAGCCTTGGTGCTAAGCTGCCTCCTTTCCCAGATCTCCCTGATCTGCATTGGTTTCTTTACTTTACAAATATAGATAATGACATCAATCATACAGGTGTTAGTTTACCTTTTAGATCTACAAATGGTCTATTCACAGGGCCCAGTACAATGTCTGGATCAGGGTGATACCCAGCTAGTATTTATTTAGGAAAAGTGGATGAATTAATTACTAAGTGTTCTGTATCCTTGTGGAAATTTCTGAGTATTAATATAGAGAGTTTTATATGTCGGTTTTGTAAGTAAGCTGTAAGCTTTACAGAGCAAGAGAAGCTCAAGAATATCTCAGAGTACAATTAAGCAATTTTGAATGGTGAAATGATGACAAAATTATCGAATGAACTGAACAATATGTTTGTAATATAAGGGTAAAGGTTTTGTCTCTGTGAATATACCTGGAAGTGCAAGCAAAAAAAATGAAGTTTGTACAACGTAAAAACAATCACTTCCATTCTTTCCAGATCTAACAAGGAGAAATTGTCCTAGATATGTTTCCAGAATGCACACAGGACTGCACTTGTTCTAAGAGCCTGATGTGTACTTAGATAACACGGATTTTACTATGGTACTCCATAATAATTATCTGTCAATATGATTCTATCTCATCAATATACTTAATGTTAAATATTTATAAATACCTATATTTATATGTACATATAGTTTTTTTGTTGGTTTCCTCAACTTCATTTCCTTCTCTTTTTAATGAAAGAACATATAAAGCTAGAATTACTTTCAGACTCTTTTGTTGCTTGGTTTCCAGATATGATTTGAGTCCGGTCAGTTCATTCACATGAGTTTTGATGAGTAGAACAGAAGAAAAGGAGATTCTCTCAGATTCTAGAAGATGATAGTGGCAAGTAAAGCTATACTTTTGTTGCAGTAGTGTTTATTTTATTTTTATTTGTTCTAATTAGTTATACTGTAGTGTTTATTAACCATTGTACAGTTTATTAGAAGAAACATGCATTCACATCCAAAATATGAGACAAACCTGCTAAGATCTTTGGGAAAAGCTATGGAGAAAGAAAAAAACAAATATAAATATGGTGAAAAAAGGCAAGAATTCTGGGTCAAAGTGGATGTATATAAAGGAAAGAGAAGAAAATGGAGGATGGAAATCTGGTCGGTTCATAAATGGCTTTGTTGGTTATAGTAATAAGAGAAACTATTATTTATACTGTAATGAGAAGCCATTGTTGAATTCTAAGAATGAAGTAATATGATCTATGTCCATATTTCAAAACTGGCCTCTGATGAAAAATGGTCTGTAGGTGGGCCAAAATAGGACATAGAAAATGTGTTGTAATCATGTAGATGAAAATGTGATAATTTTAATTAAAGTTGTGTGGGTGGAAAGGCTATGTTATTAAATCAGAATGAATTTCAATTATATTTGTTATATTTTAAAATATTATTATTGAATAATTATAATTAGACATGATAGTAGGCTTTTTTGTAACATATTTATATGTTCACATAGCATAATTTGATCTAATATATTTCCCCATATGTTCCCTTTTCCTTCCATCTACCCTCCTCCTAAACTCCATTCCCTAGTAGTGTCCCTTCTGTTTTCATGAGATTCCTTTTATTTTTGTATTTATCATTTTGAATATAATTTCTGTCTGTGTATGAACTTCTTCTAATTGCATTTAATATATATTTTATGTTTTTCCAACAGTTGCAGCTATTTAACTAATATATGAATAACTTATGGTAATTTGATTTATAACATTTCTTTAATGGAAATCCAAGCCATTAATTATGATCAACTGAGACTTATAAGTAGTAGATTTAGACATATGTATTTTTTTCTTTGGATTTCAAATTCCTGAGTGAAAATACATTTATCTGGCTTTCCAGAAATAAATTTATAAGCTTCAAGTTCAGGGTTAGGTAGCAAACAAAGCAAAATGGTACCGTGTTACATACATTACAATGATATATAAAATGTGTGAACAATCTTTTTCCTAACAGCACCAAGACTTGATTGACTGTCTATATAATAGATATTATAACCTGTCATTTGACAGTTACGGGAGAATTTTCTGGAATCAGAGACTGTTAATTATGTTGAAGATGTGCTTTGCTCTCACTCTCCATTTAAAATAGAAAGGAAAACACATTTTAAGCAGGTTACAAGATATTAGGATGACATGTACTAATAAGATATGCTAGTTTTCATAAAAACAAAAATATCAAGGATAAAAAGAAAGCTAATTATCAAGCACTGTTCTGTGGCATTTTCTGTTTGGTGTCATGTTAAAGAAGCTTGAAAGATGAAGTTAAGTGATGATGCATGGCAAAGCAAGCAGTTAAATATCCTCTCTCTAGCTCTCCCTCTCTCTCTCTCTCTGGGAATTGCCTGCCAGTCAAGTTATTGATTGTAAATGAGTGTAATGCACATTGCAAACAAAGCTGACAGAATCATCCCCACACATCATTCAATAATGAATTACATGAACTTGTCAAAACAGGAAAATGTTTTCTGGAGTCTTTAGTCCAATAGGTCCTAATGACTGTAATCTATGCAATGAATATTAATAAAGCATAGATTTTAGTAGTAGAAAATACATTGACAGTCTTTTGTGTTATATAAAAGTTATGATTTAAAGTTATGATTTAAATCTATGTTTAAATTATCTAATCATATAATTTATTTTATTGCTAGGATACATCCAGGACTACAGTTGTCATAAAGTACGCCATTCAAATGAATGATTAGTCTTTCATTTATTGTCACAATCTCTTTATTTGAAGCGTTCCTTCGGCATCTGATGATTCCTGGGGATTGCTCTTCACACTTACAAATTATGCACTGAAATCTGTAGGAAATTCAAATGTGTGGGCAGTTTGTCTATTGATGGACATTTAAATTCACTATTCGCATTAAGAACTGACTTATATAACCCATCTCCATCTACCCTTAAATTTGTATCTATAGACATCTTTTGTTGGACTGGTCAGTTTGCCAATGGAGACTCTGATGTAATTAGTAAAAGTGGAATGTGGTAACAGACTTTTATGGAGTAAGTCACCTCTTCTTACTGTCAGCTATTTAATGGACCTCAGTGGAGACATTCACTTATTCATCTTTCCTCAGGAATAAACTCCCCTTTTCTTCTAGAAGAGAAAAGGGTGATTGGGTTTCTGCCAATGATATGGTTTATTGATTCTCTTCATACATTTTCATGCAGTCTTCTTTTCAGCATCTCTCTTTTGCACACATCTTTAGAGAAGTGCATTAACCCCTAAACACTAAATATTTGGTGAAAAATATATAAAAAGATTCTACAGGATTCTTGGAATATCCTCCAGTCACTCCTGGCCTCCCATTTACACACTTGTCAAACCAGTCAAGATATGTAAAAGCTTTGTCATTTATTACTTGCATATCAACTTTCCTTGTTGCAAATTAGTTTTGACATTTCTTGTCCATGGTCATCTCTGCTCTTCAGTTCTATGTCGTGGTGGATTTGTCTTTGTTATATACATTTATTTTTGTATTAAAATTCTGGAATACATGGTGTTATACATATGTGTAAAAACAAAAAGTTTCATAAAAATCTCAATTATATTATTTTGTTAAAAAATCATCTTTATAACTTTTTATTTCCTTTATAGTTTTCATATTATGTCAAATTGTCAGTCAACCATTTACCATTTTCACACAAATTAGTATACAAAAAATCATCCAAAATATGTGTTTTGAGTTTTCTTACACAATCTTAAAAAATTTTTCTACAGTCTGATATTTTGAAATTGAACTTTCATAATTATCTTAATATTAAGATTTTGTCTTAGGTCTACATGACTTTTTGAATGATTACAAACTAACGTCAATTTGAATATTTCATTTTAATCTGCCTTGTGTTCTTGCCCTTTTCATTTATTTATTTATTTTTGGTACCATAGATTGAATCCAAGGGCATTTAACCACTGAGCCACATTAAGCCAAATCTCTAACCCTCTACTTTTTTTAAGAGACAGGTCTCACTAAGTTGCTTCAGACCTCACTAAGTTGCTGATGAGGCTGCTGGCTTTGTATTTGCAATTCTCCTGCCTCAGCCTCCTGAGTGCCTGGGATTACAGGTGTGTACCATCATGCCTGGCTGGTTTTGACCCTTTTAAATTGTATTTTATTTTGTGTATATTCTATGGATCTGATTGTTAGTTAAAAAAGTAAAAGCCATTTACGTTTAAATTTATAATTTAAAATATTTTATATTTGTTTCTACAACTAATATGCTCACTTTAAACTTTGATATTTTAAGTTTTTGACTTTTTATATGTCCTTGTTTTTTCTCCTTATTCATTCCTCTCCATGTGTTGTTATTTTATGTCTTCTTAAGTTACTTGATGGCAGATACCCTACTTTTAAAATTCTCAACAAAATGCACTCATCCAAGATATATACATATATATATATATATATATGATTAAATCATATATATATGATTAAATGGTTATAATTGGACTATGATAAGTATTCTGATGTATTATTATCACATCAACTCTAATTCACTTTTTTTTCTGATTTTCATTTTTCTCACTTACAAGGTAAAATATAAAATAGAAAACATAGGGTTATCAAAGGATAATTAGATTACCCTCAATATCTAAAATTCAACCTCTCAGCTAGATTCATAACTTATGTAAAGAGAGAGAAATCATCTTTAGCTTTAGTCCCTGTATAAAACAGAATAATACTTTTATATAGATGTTTTGGGAATTGTAGTTTTAAGGTGTAAGTGGAATGACATCTACTGTAGAATCATGGTTATTTAGATAAAATTATTGTGGACTCGTTGGCCCTCAGGGTTGTATCTATTGAAGTGAATCTATTTGTGATTGACAGACTGAGTTGAATAAGGTGCTGAGTTTAATTAGTTTTAATAGAAATCTATGGTCAGGAAGGAAAACTTTTGCTTATTGAATTAACAGGTTTAAAACTGATTTGAATTTCTATTTGTATCGTGGTTATAAGGCAACCAGTCTTTAGTTTTTTTCTAGAAAGGAATGATATTTTAAGCAATCCATCCTTCACTGTCATGGTGATGCTAAAATGAAATGTATGGTTTTGTGAATTTGGCTCATCAGGGTCATTGAGAAATGCCTTTTCAATTTAAACACAAAGAGAAGGAGTTAGACA